ATAGCAAATAACCTCACAATCAACATGTTTGTGTCATAACTAATCACTTCAATACTTTATTTATTAGGTATAAACAAAATATATTTATTTCAAACCCAATATAATATTTCAAATAACATATTTAGTATCTAGTATTTAATAGTACAGTATTGTTGTAATATTAATATTTAAGTAATCATTGATAAATATTTCTTGATAAATAACATAAGTTTATATGCATAATAAATACATGCATTACGCAAGTATCATACTATTTATTAGTTCACTTATAAAAGTCAATATAAATTACAGTTAATTCAATCAATAAATATGCAAATATGCACAGAATAAACCACTTTACAGTTATAATAACAAATATGTTAATGTTCAAAATACAGTATCACTTCTATGGTATATCTTCAAATCTTATTAAAGAATTTAAAAATGAGTCAAAAATATATACTAATTCCTAATGATACAGTACTACATCATTCATGAAAGATATAAAATTTAAAAATAAAATCATGTAAATAGTTTAAGATTATTTAAATCTCTAAGATTTACAGTTTATTAAATTATTTGAAACTGAAGTGCAAAAAGCCAATCACTGTTTTCTAAATGAATAGTAAATGTGCTATTGATATACAATTGAAAGTGTAATGAATACAATAAGTTACATTACATATGGGAAGCAATTGTTAGCAATGTTTTGCGCCGAAGTACTATTTAAGGGTAAAAATAGTGTTTTCATCGTTTTAAACATTTTGTATTGCAATCTGTGTTGCAAAGGGAGTTAAGCTGTGACTTAGGGAGAGATTGAGTGAATTGAGTGAATAGAGCACACATTGTATGGCAGATAGCAATGATGGGTAGGTGCTGTAGTTGACTGTATAGACTGCATTGAATGTGTGGTATAATGTAGTGAATGGTGTTTGTGGGCAAAAGTGGTGCAGAGAATGGATCGATAAAAGAGTGCACAGAATCGCATGAATGCAATGCAATGCTTGGCGTAACGTTTGCGCAAATTCTTGTAAATTCAGTTCTGATGGATGTGTTGGATATTTGTCTGGTTTCGTGAGTCGAATGATTTGTTGTGTGTTTGATATACCTGTGAAACTGTGTTAACTAAACAACGAATTGTGGAAAGGGGTCTAATTCTCCATAGTCTGCCTTGTTATTAGTTGTGAGTAGAGCTCATCTCAAACATAATGTAAGCCATACTGTCTATGAGTTCAATACTAGATATATAGGGATTCATTGATCGCTTTTTTACGAAAAGGTCATCAAAAGGGAAGCCATCGGATGGCGGAGAGTCAGGTGGCGCGGCCGGTGATAAAGGACCGCAACCTAACCCTCAACTTCAGGCCTCATCCAGACGTATGCAACAAACACAGGCACAGGTGGACGAAGTGACCGAAATTATGAGAGTCAACGTGGAGAAGGTGTTGGAAAGGGATGCCATGATCTCACAGCTCGACGAGAGAGCAGATGCTTTGAAAGAAGGGGCCGAGATGTTCGAGAAACAGGCCGGTGCTCTCAAGTCCAAGTTCTGGTGGAAGAACATGAAGATGATTGCAGTGATGGTAGGCATTGGACTGGTCTTAGTGTTGGTTATATTCGCGTGGATGTCAAGCAAATAACCATTCGATGACTACTCGCTAGAAATGGTGTTTGTCTTGAAGTTTTCACTCTAAACTCAACTAATTATCAATATTTCTATGTATACAATCTATACATATAAAAGGAGGTTATGATCGTCACTAGAGTGAAGTTTAAGTTAATATTTAAAAGTTTAGCACAATATATGAGACTGTAATCAGTTTTAAAGAGAATGTTCGCTAGAATTATATGAATTAATATCAAAATATGATTTCTAATTGATTGCATTATACATATAATATATAAGACTTATACATAAATAAATTATAATATACAGTATATGATATATAAATACGTCTATGAAATTAATTATTCATTTTCCAATTGATTCATATATTTTTGTTTCATATCAGTAGAGATGACATAAAGAAAATCCAAAAACATTTACTCAGTTCTTCTCACCGCTTGTATTATAGTTTATTTCAATGTCTTATAATACTTTCAATCAAAAACTTACCAAATTATAGAAATAATAAATAAAAATTAATAATTTTTTCGATTTCATTATTTAAAAATTTTATTTTCATATCTTTATTCAGGATAATTCAATTTTATTATCACTGTTTTGTGATCTATTATTTTGCGGAAAATATATAAATTAAATCATAATTCAAAACCATTTCTAAAATAAATTCAAGAGGACTGTAGTATTAGGGGTAAAATCAGAATTTTAAATATATATATAAATAATTTTATAAATTAATTGTGAATTTTCTATAATTTAGTTTAAAGTGTACACTCTAAACTGAAATCAGTTTATTTTATTAAATATAATTGTGTGAAATGTATATATTTTTTTAATGTGAGAAAACATTTTGAATCTCGAAATCTTGGATTTTAAGAACTCAAATGTTTGCTAAAATTGTAAATTAATTTTTATTTATTACTTATTTTTATTCCCCAAACCTTAATTGTAATCAATGTTTCGTATATAGCTTAAGAAAACTAGATATCACTGGTAATGAAAAATACGAAAAATGCTTATTAAATCACAAATGAAGTGAATTTTACGACAAGTTATGTGACACTAATTATGAGTTTGTGATACTTTTAATTATGTTCAAAATGTTGGGGAATGTCCTAAATTAAGGCAAAATATTACAGCATTTGTATAGCTTGTGGTTGAGGCGGTTGAGGCACTCGAGAGCTATATATTCAGAATATATTGCATATAAAGTACAGTACAATATATTAAGAAAGTATTTGTATATATCATATATAACACAAATTTATATATATATATTTATAATTGTATTCAAATAGGAATGGGATGCAGAGAGAGAACACCGGTTCTTATGATTTAGAATTGCTTTCAATGAATTAATTTACAAAATGAACAAAAAATATCCGATGAAAAGGCACTTCACTATAAGTGAATCAAAATTAAGTATACATTCAATCAGTATGTTTGTATTTATGAGATGACATCTGGGAGAGGCCGAGGACCGCGTAGTGGCACTTAAGGCAGTGGTAATGAGTCTGTTTGGTGTTGTAGTTGCAGTTGTCGTTCTTGCAGTCCTGGGTTGGCGTGTATTTCTCAAATCCAGCGGCGGTTATGTTATCCATCTTCGCGTGTTGTCTCCGATGGGCCACCACTTTGTTAGTATCGGTGCAAACGAAGTCACATTTTATGCAATGGAAATGCGAGGCCTTGTTAGCCATCGATGCCATTGTGTTGGCGTACATACAGTCACTCCGACCGCAGCTAACATTACTTCTGAATTGATGAAAGTCGCCGCCCATTAGAGTGTCCAGTCTTTCATGACGTGCTGTCAAAGCATTTCATAATCAATACATTTATTAAATCAATACAAATTAGACTCTTAAACACCTGCCCCACACAACTCCAACATTTACATACAATCTCGAATAATAATGTACATATATATAACATACTGAAATACAAAGGTTTAATGTTATTTGTACACAATATCAAAGTGATTTAGTATTTGAAAATAATAGAAAAATATGACTTAATAAGTTGATCAGCTTAGTAAGTGCTAGAAGTATACTTGATAATACTTCGTACAGTATTAGAATAGTGATACTGTATTGTGAATTATGAGGATAGCCTGAGATGGGGTGTAAATGGTTGTGAGGATGAAGTGTAAGAGTAAGTGGATGTCTATGTTTGTGTGACTGACCCGTGTGCTGAACGAATCTGGTCTTATCGCAGAACGAATAGCCGCAGTCCTAATAAATACATAAATCTTTTTAATATAGTTTCAAAACACTAATAAATTTCAATTCAATTAATTGCAATATATTTATCATCACAAACAACAAGTTCTCAGAGGCAATGTAGGGTTTGTGAGTGAACTTACTTTTCTCATGCAATGAAAATGTGTCTGATGTTCACGATATCCACAATGAAGATAACCACAGTCTTCATTGAATCGAAATCTTAAATACCTTTGCATTGAATATAAATAATAGAATTAATGAAAACGCTTTTATTCTGAGAAAATCTGATTTTATCTCAAAACTCAATTTCAGCTCATTTTTCATACAACTATCTATCCTTTAATGCCTATAATCATAATATGAGACAATTATAAGTTTAATTACATGACATACCCCGTCGGCACCGGCTCATCACGTAATAACTTTATATTATTATTAGTATTATTGCTATTATTTAATTTCATCCGTTTTGCCATTTCTGATGTAATTTCATCGCTTGAATTTCGTCTCTTAAGGCATTGACTATCCATTAAATCCGTCTGAAATTGATTTTTATATTTTATACATTATTTTCAATATTGGTTTCAGAATTATACCTTAGAAGTAGATGTAAGGCCAGGGATGTCATTGTTTTTATGGGACAGATTGATGAGAGGGGATGAACTGGTGATCGTTGACGAGACACTCATGAGTTTGTTGTTCAATAAAGTGGAAGACGAAGGAGTGTTAACCCAATTATTCATAAAACTATATATATTTGGGGTCGAGTGAGGCAATTGTGTTGATATGTTTCCTAATGACATGTCTTCATCTTCTTCTTCATCTTCAGTTTCATTTTCTTCTTTAATTGGAGGACTGGGAGAGCGACCGGACAGGTATACCGGCACTGGTTTGGGTGCACCCGAATGTTTGGCCGAATGGGGCAATAAACGAGTGAAGCTTGAAAAGGCCTGAAAACACATTATATATTTAAATCAGTTTTAATTATAACAATAAATATAAAAAATAAATGTTAAATTTATTTCAATAAAACTAAAAAACAAAATCTGTATAAAATTCGAGTAAAATGTGTCTATACTAGTAATTATCCGTTTCAAAGAAATATCTATTTGTGGAAATCAATAGCTTTGGGTTAAGAATACAAAATAGAAAAGAAAATAATTATGTTTTACTGTATTTCTAATGACTTTTATAATAATTTACTAATTCTTAAATCGATGACATTTTTAGAAAATTCTTTTTCATTTTTTCAATACTTTTTTTGGGGGTTCAATAGTTATAAATGTGAATTAGAGTACCAAATGTTGTTCATTTGAGAAACTTTTTGAGAAACTTTATATAAATTATGCGAAAAGGTTATGAGAACTGAGACGGATGTTATAGTTTTGAATATTTTTACAATAATTATAAAACAAAAAATTTCCGAAAGTTTCGTTTCCAACTCTTATCGTAATTGTAATGAATGGGAAAAATGCAAACTTTATTTGATTTATTCCGTATAATTGGTTTGATATTTCTTAACAAATAACTATAATTTGTTTTTCTCCAAAATTTAATGATCGCTTAATTCTAAACTTATTTGATTTCAGGTTTTAGTGACTAATAGCGAGTCTCAAAATCGCAAATCGTTTTTTGAATTCAAATTATTAGTAATTCAAAGAAATCATTCATTTGAAGGTTTGATTCGAGTTATTAAATATTTCAAGGTTTTAATTATCGTTCAATATATTTTTACAAATTGTGTAAAAATGAAATTTAATTCAAATGTTTATTATTTTCGTATTAATCTGATTAAATATTTTGTTTTTATATAAATGTTCAATAAATTATTTAAAAACTAAAACATTAAAAACATTCTGATAAACGATAACATTTTCTCGGTGTTACTGACTTATCTAACATTTATGAGAACTATAAGGCTTTAGAAAATACTAAAGTATGCTATCTAGGCTAAAAAAGATACAGTATAAAAAAGTATAAGCTAGGAACTTTATGATAATGTTTATTCCTAAAGTTAAACATGAATCAATGTGATATTCCTTGTGATAATCTTTTTACTAAAAGTTTTATTTATTAAAACTATAGAATACAGTAGAGTTACTTTATTTATTTTTATGTTGTAAAAACGTTGAAATGTTTCAAAAGATAGATAATTAATCGATTTTTATTAAATAAAAGTATTTATAACATAACCAATAAATAATTAATAAGTGAGAATTGAAAAATAGCAGTAATTAAATAATTATTTTCTAAAAACAATCAATTAACTAAAACAACAGTTAAATAAAATTAGATTTTGTCAACTCCAAACTGATTAATGTTAGCGAACCTCATGTTTATTAATAGCTTAAGTCAAGAGCAGTTTCGCACTCAAATAAATCACATTTCAAGCACTATATAGTGCTTGAAGACCCTACAACTTTAATTTTTGGCACAAAAACTTAAAAACAAAATATTATGATTAAGTTATCCAAAGATTTTCAAAGCAAACCAAATAAGAAAATTACACAAAACATGAGGCGTATTATGGCATAGGATGTACTCCCTGTGTATTGATATATTGATAAGCTGTTAGATTTATGTATTTATAGAAATATTTCTTAATTGAATTTATATTAATATTAACTTTAAACAATGTTTATATAATATACACAAAATATCGATATAGATTCGTATTATACTATATAAACTAGCAAAAATGTATACATATTTTGCTTGAATTATAGTGTAGTTTATAAAGAGTTTAATGATTTAAAATTAGGACAAAAATATAGATTATATAAAGAATTTTCAAACATTAGATAAGAGATTTAGCCAAAAACACTTAAAGATTTGGCTATTAAAACATTTTTAGAAAAATAAAATATTATATTGAAACGAGATTAATTAGTTTTATGTAATTTTTTCTTGTAAAATTATCATTAAAACAATAATCAATAATAATATGGAAAAATCGTGAAAAATCACAATAAGAAACTTTTAGATTAAGATAAAAATAAATAACCAATAAAATGTTAAATGCTAATAATCTAGTAAATAAGTAAAAATAAAAGGCTTTATAATGATTTGTGTAATAAAATAATTGCAAACCTGATTACAAACGTTACAATGAAAGTGATCTCTCCTTTTGAGTTTACAGAAGGGAAGTCCGCATCCATTACTGGGAGAGTACTGGAGATGCTTCTCATCGGACGGCGAAAATAAATTTCGATTTGTATGAGTATTTAAATTAAAAGCCGACTGATCCTGGAGTAAGTGATTGAGCGCTTCCTTTTTGATAATCTCACTGTTGGGGACATCACTATCGCAGTCATCAATGTCTTCGTCATCACTTTCGTCTTCGGATTTAATCTGCATTTTTCATAAATTCAAATCATTTCCATACGTTTGTCAAATGCAATCATTTAATAGAGACTTACAGTGGATGTTATCGAATGACTTAATTTTCTTTGGGAAAGGGATGAGAGCGGGTAATACGTTCCCTTGGCTTTCACTGTTTGCATTTTATTATTACAATTATTGACAATTGAATTGTTATTTGTATTGAACGGACTTTTCAGTGATTCTCTGTCGTCGTCAGAGTGAGAGCTGGCCTGGGATGCAGTGGCACTGGATTTAGATTTAGCAAAGTAAGCCGGATCACAGTTTGCATTGGTGGGCTCAACACTGTTCTCGTGTTTGTGTTTGTCTTCGTGTTGACTCATTTGTGTGTATCTAATGAAAGAGTAATTACAGCCATTCCTCGTGCAGTGATAGTGTCGGTTGACTTTATTGTGGACACAACCGGCTATACGACAGTCGACGCCGCTATCAAAGTGCACGAATCCCTCCATTATATCGATGCTGTCGTGAAAGTCCTTTGAGTGCATAATTAAAGTCTCACTTCTATTGGTTACGTAATAACAGCGCGGTTTAGAGCAGTGATAGTGCTTTTGGCAGAAGTATTTACATAAGTTGTCAGTACAGGGAAAGCCCTCATCAAACACTATAAACCCCTCCTGAATATTAGATTTAGTGTACGGAAGCATAAGAGGAATGGGAATCGTTTTGGTGTCGTCCGCAACACCGGAACCGGCGATCATATCTGACAGAGCGCTGGACGCCGGCAGCGGTATATTAGAGTTGCCATAGAGTGCAGCCGCCAAACCAAATGGTGAGATGCCTAATGGCACCGACATTTGTGGTGATAACTCATTCTTTGGGAACTTAAAGTTGGAATAAATGGATTGAGGCATCTGTGAAGCATTTAATTAATTAATTAATTAAATTAATTTAATTAAGCGAAACATTATTGAAAATGAATGGAAGACTCACTTCAATGGTTTTATTCTTCGGCGGTCGGCCGCGTTTGCGCTTAAGTATTGGAAGTCCATCGATGGATGTAATGGATGTTCCCGTGGGATAGGTCTGTGTGAAGGGTTGCATGAGTTGGTGGTCGAGGAAATGTTGCGATGGCTGTGGCGGAGGAGGACTTTGCGAGTAAGCGGCCGATTGTAACTCGTTTTGTGCATTAATTCGCTGCTGTTGTTCATGCATTAGATAGTGGTCTAACTTCTTGAATGAAGTGTCACTAATGGGAACAGCACACGAACACCCGTACTGTCACCAACGAAGCGCATAATTATAATTAGCCAACACTTTGACT